TTTGCTTAGAACAGCTATCTAGGTTCCAGAGTCCCTTTAAAAATTAGCCTGGAATTTGACCTTGTTTGACATTATTTGACACTAAGGTCATCATCTAAGAACCTCAAACTTTGACCTAAGTGAGTTCACGTACAGATCAACACACCCTGTAAATTTGGTGTTTTGGCTCTCTTAGTTGCTTAGATGTCAGGGGGTCAAATTGACCCCCCCCAAGCGAAGGTATCCACCCCCCGGGAGCGTGTTAACATTTTTGACCCCTACATGCCCCTCAAATCTGTCCCACACCCGGCCAAAAGCCCGTGGGCTCTTGCCGGCTCAAATCTAGCGGCTTGATGGGTTGACAAAATCACGTATCCAGTGCCAGCCCAAAATGGGCAACGGCCCTGGCCTCCAAATGAGCAGAAGCCGCTCAATTATTGTTCACCAATTCCAAGCGTGCCACGCACCACAAACCTCCGCCATACGTGACCAGGCTGCGTGCCGTAGCGCCACTCGTTTTTACACGCACCGTTTCCCGCCGCCTACAAACCGCGGCGGCACTCGGACTCTGACGTCACAGCTGACCGCCGCCGGCGCCATTCTTGCCGGCGCCCAGGCCGGTAGGCAAGCCTGGGGCCAGATGGTGTGCCAGTTACGGACCAATCATGTGCCGACCCAGGCGGGTCCCGGGAAGGGTGTCAGCTGATGCGATCTCGGGACGGTCGGACGGCACAAGGCATGCGCGCCAACAATCCCACGTGGCCCACGTCTGTGGGTACTTGTTGACCATTCCCAAGTGTCGCCGGCCATATGGGTCAGCGCTCTGCGGCCATCACGGAGTTTCCCGCCAAGTTCCACAGAGCACGGATAAATTGTCTGGCAAAGAGCGGAAAATAATGGGCCTTAAAGTGCAATGTTAATCACATTAAGTCCAGGGTATCTGCGTTGTTGCCAGCTCGGCGCTGTTCTAGACCGTAGCACCACGGGGTTCTACAAATAGGGGCGACATTCACCTGGCACCTTGCTGAGGACGTCAAGTCACGACCTAAACTTACATAAACTTCGTTTTCCTTTCAGAATCTGCTGAAATGGACACTTATCACTTAACGGAAATATGTTATATGTATCTGACACGGTTAAGGAGGTATTTTTGAAGCTCGGAGAAACGGAATACTGTACTGCGGAGAGAACTTCTATCATGCATTCAACTTGCACATCAATCATGTTCAGGGTATTCTTTGCGGAAAACGGGACGGAAAAGCTATTAGCAAAAAGCGGATATTAAATAAATCAGGCGAGTCAAATGCAACGTATTGTAGTTGGTGACTCCCCTTGAATTGCGCTATTTTTCCGTTTGATTGGGAACCAGATGTTGTGCAGTCAAACCCCAATACTGCGACTTCCAACGGCCAGCAAGCATCACGCAACAATATTTACGACAGTGCAGGGGAGTTACACTTCGGTGGTCACAGGAGTCGGAAGGGAATAATTGGTGCCAGCTGGGTTACACCTTTGCTTGTGACGCTGGTTCAAAGGACGCCTACAGAATTATTATATTTGGATGAATTTGCTTGCAAAAGGCTGTGGAAACATTTAACTACATGAAGCTGAGTACGTAAAGCCCGTTCACCTATTCATTGCACTTGAAACAAAAATTAATGGCGTAGGTAATCCGGAAATGGGCTTCGAGGTTTTCATTTTTTTCGGTCACCTGTAGGATCAGCGAGTAAGATAACTGAAGAAACAATTATCGGTAATGTGTAAAGCTTTACGATGCGTGTGGCAAGGAAGTATTTTAAGGGTTGTCGCGTAAATTCCAACTAAGTGAATGCATCGGTGTACAGAAAAAGAGCACCTGCTGCAGCGGTGTGGAGTGAGCAGTACACTCCGTGAGCGGTGCTGGCACACGAGCAGCAGTGGGACATATCGTTGAAGCTGAGAGCTGAAGCTGCCGGCGTCAGCAGCGTCTCTGACGCGCCGGCGGGCAGTGGGTGGCTAGTCCAGCTCAGGTGGCCGGCCGGCACCCCTGAGTGGCGCTGGAGTCCTGCGTCCCTGGCCGTAACCGGCGAGGACACTCGCGCACCGAAACCGTGCCGCCCAAGCATGAACACGGAGAGCCAACCGGAGGCAACAGCGTGCGAAATCCCGATTCGTTGTGAGCCCGCGGCGCGGCAACTTGGCAGCCAAGCACCGGACAGCACCGATCCAGCAGGGAGCCGACAGTCACAGCCGGAAGTCGGCGGCTGGCGGCGGCGCGGCAGCACGGCAGCCAAGCACCGGACTGCACCGATCCAGCAAGGAGCCGACAGTCATAGCCGGAAGCCGGCGGCTGGCGGCGGCATGGCAGCACGGCAGCCAAGCTCCGGACAGGACCGATCGAGCCGGGAGCCGACTGTCACAGCCGGAAGCGGCGGCTGGCGGCGGCGCGGTCGGCTGTTTCGCCGGCCGGGGCCGCGTGCACGCGCCGCGACGCGCCGCCGGCCGAGCACCGTTACCTGGCCAGTGAGTGGGTCGGCCGGGCGGCGTCCGGCTGCAGACAGCGGCAGCGGCCCGGCCATGGGTACATCGTCACCGCTGCCCCCGCCGCCGCCTCTGCCGCCGCTGTTGCGACTGCTGCTGCTGCTGGAGCTCTTGCTGGCTGCAACGGCATGGTCAGGTGAGGTGCTGAGCTCCGCCGCCACTGTTACCGCTGATGCCGTTATCTGTGTTGCCGGCTGTCTCGACTGAGTCTTGTGTGGCCCTAATTGAATAGCAATCTGGAAACTGGACGTAGGTTGTACAGTGACGGCCGATAAGTCAAGGCGTTACGCCTGCACTCGTTTTGTTCCTTCTCGTTAATTGTTTGTCTCTCGCCCATTCTTCCACATTTAAAGGCATACAGCCCTCCTATCTACGCTTCCGATATTGCAGTGTGTTATTTGTGGCGAAAATGGACTGTCAAACTGGCTTTCACACAGGAAATGTGGCCACATTTGTCGCCCAGGCTAACATCGCGACTCTTGTGCAAGGCGTTGTCCGGTGACCGTTGATGGTGCCCTGTGCTCTGCAGCGGAGATATGCAAGCCAGTAGATGGTCAGTGCGAGGGTCCGCCTCTGCCAGGCACCTTCTTCATCTCTCGTAACAACACACAAGTACTGGCTGCCCTCGGAGATGATGTCCGCCTTCCGTGTCAGATTCGAGGGGCCATGACGCACAAGGTCAGTACTGGCTGCCCTCGGAGATGATGTCCGCCTGGCGTGTCAGATTCGAGGGGCCATGACGCACAAGGTCAGTACTGGCTGCCCTCGGAGATGATGTCCGCCTCCCGTGTCAGATTTGAGAGGCCATGAGGCACAAGGTCAGTTGCGAGGACCGCTTGCCTATTGGTTCAATATTCAGCCGGATGCTCCCACTGCAGCGACCAATTCTGGGTCCGTTTTTAAGTGGCGCGTAGTGGAATACTCATGTGGCGAATCTGGTAAGCGCTGTAAGAAGGATTACCACCATCATTGGAATGCACCTCACAAACGAAACGAAGTGTAAAATCACAGTACCTATACAATACCTGTAAGTCAACCGCAGTGACATGGAGACTGCTGAAATCTGACGAAACGAACGCGATTGGCGTGTATATGCTGCCACTAGTGGCTTGGCTCGTTTCGAAACGCTCCCTTATCACCTGCAGCTCATATAAAGCCCGTATTTGCTAATGACGTGTGTTATGCGTGGTCCGATTACAAATTTCATTGCGTACTGTTTCGCGCTGTTGCCGCTCGCTAGCCACCTCTGAGCGTCCGGCAGTCTGCACGTCTCTTTCAGCAGAATCAGCCCAACTGATGGTCGCATTTTCCACTGCTGACCGATCAAACCGGCCGGGTAATTTTGATGGCGCGCATGAAGAACGCACGATGCAGTAATGACAAAATACGGGCGTAATAATGGAGGGCATGTCATTCAGTGCGTTGGCTTCGTCGTTAGCCGCGCTAGTTCGTCCTGGACGCGTAATAATGGAGGGCACGTCACTCAGTGCGCTGGCTTCGTCGGTAGCCGCGCTAGTTTTGTCCTGAACAGCCTGGCTGCCATGTTTGCCTGCATTGGTGGAAAATCACTGGTTAGGCTGAAAGGGGATCCTACATAGTGTTATGGAGTGCGTCGGCTAAATGCGGCATTTTGCAGGGTATGTTTCATTTTAAATAGTGTTCATGCGACTGCCCACACACCCCGTAAGGTTTTTGAGGATATCTCCCCCGGCATGTCGCGCCAGCTCCAGATTTTTGGTGGCCTCCGGGGACATTCATTGTCCGTATTTTGACACAAAAAGGCACCTTTAACATTTCGTATTCCTGAAAAGTGACGGTTTGTCAGAAACAACGCATGGCTGATCCATGGCTTGGGAGGTCGGCTGGGCCGTGCCAGCTGGCGAGTCCTCATATCGCGCGCGGCGGGCCTTACACTGCCCTTTGCATTCACGTAGTCACTCGTCATAATGTGTGCTTCAACACACACACACACACACACACACACACACACACACCACACACACACACCACACACACACACACACACCACACCACACACACACACACCGACACACACACACGACACACACCCACACACACACACACACACACACACACACAGCACCACACACACATACACACGACACCACACACACACACACACACACACACACATCACACACACACACACACACACACACACCACACACACACACACACACCACACACACCACACACACACAACACACACACACACAACGCACCGATACATTGATGTGCTCATAATAAAAAACGGAGCAGTTTTATTAAAGTTCATGTTGCTGCATGGAGGAATTTCGTAAATGAGACATGCAAGTCCGTCCTGATGGATGGCTGAAGCTTTGATTTCACTTTGAATTTTATCACGTGCATGAAAAAGCTGTAGTAAGGGGCCTGCCGCCATCGAAAAGCCCTAAAAACGTTTGTAACACCACGCCCCAAGTTATCGATATAGGGCAGTGTGAAACTTGACAAACATTCAAGATGGCGGAGGCCGTCGTCTCGAGTTTTGACAAATACGCAAGTTGCACAAGTAGCAACCACGCCCACTTGGCTCTCCTAGCTGCACATAACATATCTCCGCGGTAAACCTTCGCGCTAGTTGACATTGCATGGTCTCATTTAGGAAGCAGGAGTGTGAAAAATCAGCTACTGGCATTTTCTGGCCACACCGATGCAGTCATATAAGCGTCATCTGATGGTTTCGATTAATCTTCGTCAAACAAACGTTACCCGGCATGTATTTTCATGTCGAACAGATGACGCAACGGGATGTATTCGCAGGTATGCTGGTTCCGCAAATCGTCTCGGCGTCTGCTAACGGTCCAGGATAAGAGCTTCACGCAGGATGAGAGGGTATACACGGACCTTCAACACGTTCACAGAACGTAAGGCCACAGCATGGCTTATGATAACAATGAAAGTGATGAAAGAGCCCCCCCCCCCCCTCCCCCACCCATTGGAAAGCTACACATAGACAGCCTTGCTAAAATATGCACAAAGTAAAGTATGCACAAAGGGTAGCCCCGAGAAACTTAGCGCTCCGTCGTGCACCACACGATGATTCACCATGGATTGATTCGTCTCCCCACTATACCCTGCCCGGAGCGAAAACTTGACAAGTAGACAGGGACACAGCTCACCTGTAACCTGTCGCCTCCTCCATGTATGGACTAAACATGGTCGTTGAACATGCACATCTGTAGCGTCCCATCTCCGAGAATGGACAGCGCGATCTTGCAACGCTTTGATGCGCCCATAACTCCAGACGGGGCACCCGCACATTAGTACCAAGTGTCGATTTGCGTATAACTCCAGACGCGGCCATCGCACATTTGTAACGGGCCGATGTCCGCTACAACACCAACGACGTGAACATTGCACTTTCGTGTTTGATAACCGTTGTCGATGCGGCCCCGAAACTCCAAGCGTGGAAAACTAAAACACTCGTAACATATGTTTAAGCTTCTACGGGGATGGCCCGCTGCTCATCTGTAACGTGTTGATGCTTTCTTCAATTAGACACGAACACGCCGGCCTACCTGCGACCGTTGTTTGAAGTGCTCTTTACTCGTCGGACTTGGACGCTGCCCAACCTGGGTGATAGTTGATTTTGCCCTGTGCGTATGGCATGGGCACCTGCCCCACCTGTAACACCGTGCCCCGCTCCGCAATGTGTCCGTTTATTGTAACTGCAGGACTTGGACACTGCACATTCTGTAACGTGAACCCGCCGGCGACTCAGGGGTGTTTACGCGTGCCAGCTGTCGGGCCCCCCCCCACCCATGGGATCAGCTCCAGGTTCGCCCTGAAGGTGGCAGGTGTCAGTGGAGGCCACGTGTCGGTCACATGACCAACACCGTTGTTCAGTTCTTGGCCACATCGTTGCCGTGCGGGGCCAAGCATCAAGTGCTCATTACCATTCCTCGTGCTTCATTTTAATGTCAACGAAATTGATTGTAAATGAACTGTGTGAGGGAAGCGAAGACCGAAGCGCAGCGCCAATGAACGGTTGCTGGCAAATGGGCCTCAGCGACGGCCCGTGTTGATGTTGGGGTCGGCGGGGGTACATCGGGACGATTTGAAGCCGTGGAAAATCGGTCTCGTGCCGTGCAGGTAGGGTCCAAGCCGGCTACTTTTGCCATCCAAATGCAGAATAGTGCTAGGCGCCGTGAGGTAAAATAGCACTTGGGCCTTTTGCCTTCGGATGACACACTTGCAAATAGCACCAGATGTTGTGGGTGAATTAGTGGAATCGAAGGAGGAATTTAGCGATGGCATGTGCGTTAAGCGAAAAATACAACGTTTTGGATGCGTAACTGGCCGCCTAGAGTAAAGAGAACACGCTGGGCATGCATGGTTTAGTTCGCCTTTTCAAACATACGTTGGCATCTTTCGTCGCTGCCACCCGATGTTTGCACCCATATGGCTCGACGTAAGATTCTGATCATGGGAGAAGTGAAGAAGTAAAACAGTAAAATGAGATTAGCCCTTTGCTCATAGCGTTCGTCTAAAACAGGCATTGATTATATGCATATATATATATATATATATATATATATATATATATATATATAATATCTGAACATCCTTTTTCTCGGCAACCAAATAACGAGCTCACCGAGGAAGGACCAAGTCTGAAATACATGTATAGCTCATTCTTGTTTGCAGTCGAGCTCCATGAACATAAGTTTACCTTATTCTCCATTCACTTGCAGTATTGCGGGCGTTACCGCTGTCGATTTCAGTGTTGATTGCCTCGACACCCGACACGCAGCGTCCAGTGTGAGGCGCACACGGGAGCAAAGCTCCGCCATATGGCAGCCGACTGATGAGCTCGCTCCTTCCAGACCCGAAAAACACCAGACGAAAGAAAGAGGCCATTGTGCTGGTGAAGGACTACAACGAGCCCGGTTTCCGCCTGCCGAACGCTGAGCTGTGCCCGGGCAGCGGGAATGACGTCAAGCTGGTGATCATGGTGCAGAGCGCGCCGGCGCACACGAACATCCGCAGCGTCATCCGACACACGTGGGCGCGGCCGGCCATCTCACGCGACGACATCGTGCTAGCGTTCGTGGTGGCCGCCGTCGGAGACACGGTCGAGCAGCGCAACATCGACTACGAACAGTCACTGTACGGCGACCTCGTGCAGGCCAACTTCGTCGACCACTATAACAACCTGACGCTGAAGACGCTGGCCAGCCTCGAGTGGGTCGACAAGTACTGCCCGGACGCGCTGTTCACGCTCAAGGTCGACGACGACGTCTTTCTCAACGTGAACAACCTGATGAAGTTCGTCGAGCAGCACCACCAGCAGCGGCGCACCATCTTCGGGAACGTCGTGTTCAACCCGAAGCCGGATCGTAACAAGGAGTCGCGCTACTACGTCAGCCCCAAGATCTGGGACAAGACCAAGTACCCGCGCTACACAGGCGGGCCGCTCTACCTGATCAGCGGGGACAGCGTGCGCGGCCTCCGACAGCGCGTGCTGGAGCGCCCCTACTTCTTTATCGAGGACGTGCTCGTGACGGGCATCGGCGCTAAGCTGGCCGGCGTGCGGCGGCTGCGCGCGCCCGAGTTCTTCACCTACAGCGTGCCCACCTCCGACACATGCCTGCTACGCATGCTGGTGGGCGCCCACCAGATCCCTAGCAAGGAGCTGCCGGACATCTGGACGCGGCTGAACGACCGCACCATCCCGTGTCCGCACACGTACGCGCCGGACCTCTGGAAGCCATGCATTAACCTCAAGGCGCAGGAGAGCCTGAAGCACTGCGTGCT